AAGGGATGCGTGGAGATTTCTATAGATGGGAGAAGTCCACTCGCCATGCAATGCAGAGTCTTGTTAGTGTCATTGCCGTACTTTTGCCGGAATCTGTTGTAAGGCATTGAAAGGCTTGTAAGGGTTTCTAAAGTGTAGGCTAGCAGCTAGCAGTAAAGAGTTATGCAAGGCTCTGCCAATTTCACCTCGGAAATTTGTGGCCGGAAGCAGTCCTAGAGCTGTGTGTCGAGATCTTGCTCTGAAGTCTCTTGACTTTTGGCTCCTCAGGGTCAATGCTAAACTTATTTTCAGACACGTGTGCAGTCGGAAGATTGCAAAGGGTGCCTTCTCCCAGTCCTTTATCTGTACCGTACTTATAATTATAATGCCTGATATCATACTTCAGGTTTGGTTATCGGCTTGTTTTCTGTAACAAATCTAGGTCCTAGGTCTGTTAAGGATACACAAATGTTTCGTGGAGTATGTGTGGAGCCCAGCCGGATTGCGCGGTCACAGGATTTGCAAGTCCAGAGCAGACTCACGAGACATCGTTTCGAGTTTGCGTGTGGCGTACAGTATCCTAGATTCCTAGATCCTTGCTGTTGGTCCTAGCTCCCAGCTGCCCCAGCTACTTGTGCTCGTTGCAGCGGACAGACCGATCACAGAAGCTGGTGTTGAAAGAGCACTGTTGCTGCTTTCTGGTGCTTTCTGCAGAGCAGCTCATTCTAAATTGATTTGTGCAGCCTGGACCATCGCTTGGCAGTCACAGCTTCTGAAACATTTTTTGGTGGTTGCTCTGGTGCTGCAGGCATTCAGCTGTGTGAGCAGTGAGTCCACGGGTACTTGGCAGCTGTCATTCTAGGATTCTAGGACTTTAGGACATGTTGTGTTTTTTTCTTCGCTGGGCCCAGAGTCTACATCGCAGAGTCTACATTCTAGATATTCATCATGCGGGGTAGCGGCAGTGGTGCTGCATTGCCCAAGCGCGGGAAGGAGTGCTGTAGCTGTCTGTTGGCAGTGTCGCAAAACTCGCTGTAACTAACTAATTCGTTTTGATACTTGGCAGGTGTGTAGCTGCAGACATGTCTCTGGCTGTGTCTCTGCATTCTGTATCCGCTTCGGAGAACATCACATCTGTGCCTGTGCTTGTGACTGCTTGTGCTTGTAGAGTCTGTAGAGAACACCGTTGTAGTCGGCAGGACAAGGGGCTGAAGCGCCGCGAAGGTGATGATGATGATGAAGAGCCCGACCGCCAAAGTGAGCGAGGAAGCAGAGCCTCCAAGAAGAGCAAGCAGAGTCAGCAAGTGGGTGGCCGTTCTTTTGTGAGGAAGTGCTACACGTGTGGCAAGACTGCCACTGACACTCAATCGCTTGGATCATGATTCTTGGTTTTCTGTCTGTTGTAGAGGTGGAATTCTAGCATTGTAGCACATGTACATAGTAGACATTGGTCTATGTCCTATGTCTATGTACAATGTACAATTGTCATGGTAACGAGTCCGGCCCGGTGGCTACAATATTGTCTCACCGTCGTTCCTGTTGTCATATGTGTAATAACTATGGACTGTAGACTAAGGAGACCACATTCATGAGCCAAGATTCCACAGGAATGCCTGTGGATGACGGGTGTTACAACTGTGGCGGGACGTGGAGCGAGACCAACCCGGGCCAGCCGTGGAGTGCCTGTAAGGAGAAGTTGACAGCTTAGTCAGTCATCTGTGTTTTCAGCGTGTGTGTGTGTGTCATTCTTTGCAGCAGTCACTGAAAAGTTTTAGTCATGTGTTCCCTCGTGTAGGTCTCCGAGTGAGAGGGGCGGTCATGCCGGGCCAACGTGGGGAAACAAAAACAGTGAGGTTCGACAAAGAGCCAAAGTGGCGGCCCAAGTTCCAGAAGTCGGCGAGGATCCGGTCCGGGGAGATCGAGGCACCGCAGTGGGACTCAGAAGGCAATGTCCTGGACTGGGAGACCACGGAAATGGAGATCACACAGGAGTTGGGGCTCCTGTCTGAAAATGAGTTCGAGTCCCTGGCGGGTTTCAGCGGAGCAGCCATCAAGGGTGAGTTGCAGAAGGTGCCGAGCCACCTTGGCATGGACAAGAGCTTTGTTGTCATCACTCTAGATGGCCTTCCCTGCACCGTTACCAACGGAATGAGGAAGCTTCGATGCAAGTACCGCTTCGGGCTGACAAGGCAGGACATGCTTTTGTCAGCGGGCCGGCAGTTGGTAGAGGGGCAGGGCAAGGTGGTTTTCAGCTACCACAGCGAAGAGCAGCTCAAGCAGAGACCTAAGGGACTGCAGACCGAACAGCAGTTCAAGGATCTCAAGTCCTTGGATCCGTTGAAAGAGAAGGCCCAAAAGGCTTTGGCCAAGAGCGGTGCAGCTCCAGCCAAGACCAAAGACGAGAGCAGTTCCGAAGCTGATGAGGACGATGATGGTCCCAAAGAAAAGAAGCTGAAGATTCAGCAGTCGGGGCGACTGCAGAAGGCTCCCAAGCCGAAGAGGAAAAGCAAGGGCCAGAAAGCCGGAGAGCCGGAAGTTGCCACGGTTGAGGGTGAGGGGCAGGTGCCGAAGGATTTGGAAAGCGTGGTGGAAGCCCGTGGGTCCACGCCGAAATGCTTCCTGAATCTGCACATTCCCCGCATTTTGAGGGGTGAGAAATTGATGCGCAGCGTGGATGCTGTGCGGAACTCAGATTTGCTCCAGTTGTGTCGTCATGCAGGCCTAATGACACATGCTACAATGGCCACGGGCTGTCTGTTGCTGTGAAGGACTCATAGGCCACAGGCAAAAGTCTCAGAGTTTCCATTCCAAATTCTCCAGGATACTGGAGCTTAATAAGTCAGTGTTGTGCGCCAACATCAGTAGATGGTTTTATCTCTAAGGCGAAGAAGATCATGGATGAGATGAAAGGCCAGCGACAGTTCCAATGGAAAACTTTGCACAAACATATCGAGCTGTGTGAGCTGGCAAATGGAATGACCCACAATGCCAGCCAGCTCAGTGCTCGAGAGTGCCGTTTGGCCATGGAAAAGTTGCTGTCGAAGAATATCGAGTTGCCCTTCAACATCCGCCTCGTGGGAACCGAGAAAATCCTTGCCGGCACTTGGCACGACCTTCTCCACAGCCCCCAGAACACCTCTCCGCAGGACAACGTGTTCTATGGGACTCTATGACTCTATACCTTTACTATACTATACCGCTACATTACTCGACTCCTTTAGGTAGCTATTGTTATTGTCCTAGATTGACACCTTCGCGTGGTCACCTTTCCTGATTGTCCAAGATGCTTGCCCAGTCTGGTTTCAGCTTCGTAAGTTTTACTTTTACTTCAAGCTTGCTACAGGACATCAACAAGATCGTGGACCAGATGATGAGTGTTCTCATCAGCTGGCGACATTGCTTGGGGGATGAGGTTGATGTTGCCAAGAAGACAAAAGAGGTGGAGATCTTCAGCTTCGATGGTTTGGCGGCAGATTTGCAGGCAGAGAGGGAGGATGTGGACGATGATGAAGAGCAGTCCAAGATGTTGGATACTTTGGAGGAGGCTGGAAGTCTTAGGCATACAATGTGAAAAGTCTGGCTCAGAAACACAAACCCGTAATCATGACCCTAATATCCTGAAGTTTCTAAGCCTGCACCTTAAAACCGTGCATCGTAACACCCTGAACCTGAAGCCCCCCAAGCCTGAGCTCCAAAGCCTAAAAGCCTGAGCCCCTAATCCTTTCACCTGTATGGACTGTACGCAGACCTAGGGCTTACGGTTTTTATTCACCCCAAAGCCCTAAAAGCCTTAGCCCCAAATCCGCTTAAAGCGCGGATTCTTGAGAGTACAGTACAGGGTGACTACACGTCTCGCGTTGTGCCATGAGTGCAGCTGAGTGCAGACACAGTCCCCAAATGAGTGCGAGCCTTGAAAATCTTGTGGCAGTGTTCCGTACTCGAAACTTTGAAGATTTTAAGAATCTGAGCAGCTCGGTGTTTGAAGATGATAGTGGTAGTAAGATCTGTTTTCGATTCGATGGAATGCACGGCTGATGTGTCGGCTGATGTCACTGAGTGTCAGCCGATCAGAAAAAAACAGAGAGAGAGATACATAGTGACAGAGATGGAGTCTCGAGTTTAGAGTCTAGAGCGAGAGTGCTCGAGAGAGTATGTGCTTGTGTCTCTGACTCGGACTGTATCTATGCCTCTGTGTGTGTGTGTGTGTCTGTGTGTGTGTGTGCACGTGCTGCACGTGGTGGCTGTGTGCTGCGGGTGGGTGGGTGGGTGGGTGGGTGGGTGGGGCTGGTGTGTGTTCACGTGTGCTTGTCAGGAGATGGAGTCATCGATTCTCCATGCCATGGGCTGCGGTGAGTTTTTTGCGATGATGGAGGAGCCCAAGCTCCACGAGCGCCTGAAAGGTGTGACCGTGCGGTTTGTGACCAAGTACACGGAAGACAAAGTGGAGACCTTGGAGATGGGCAAGGGCACCTCCAGTGCAATGGCCATTGTGTTCAAGGCCATGGCATGCTTGTTGGTTCTGTTGGAGCCTACACCGGGCTACTTGGGGACCTCTACAAGCCAAGTGGCAAAAGTCATGTCCTACGAGGGCAACGGCACCGACGATGATTTCTTGAGCAGCCTGCGGCTGGTCCTCCAAGAGAACGGCTTTGGCAGTCGAGGGTGGACGAGGTCTTGAAGCTCGGAGGGAGTGCTATCAAGTACGGGGAACAATTGAAAGAGCATGTGGCGAAGATGAAGTCGATCCTGGACGAGGACGGCTTCAGTGAGCACTTCGTCCAGGCCGTCAACATCGTCGACACCTTGAAGAATGGCCTTCGCAAGAATGCCGTTGATGAGCTGCTGTCTCTCGTCCGAGAGATGACTCAGAAGTACATTGAGAAGCTCTGCGCCTCCCCGGCTGTGTCCGAGAGCGATGGAGGGATGATCCAGGTGCTCATGACGGCCGTTGACAAGTTTCCCCAGAAGGACATGCTGCAGCTGAAGCAGAAATTTCTCAAGTGGCAGAAAAGCGTCCAAGCGGAGCTGCACAAGCAGCAAGCAGCGGCGCTTGGCAACAAGATCCTCAACCAAGCCGGGAACGAGGAGGAGGAGGTCCCTGTCGAGGAGCTCGCGCAGCTTCTGGACAAGTTCAAGGCCGAGAAGGAACTGAAGGGCGATGCAAAGGAGCTGCTTCAGCAGCTGATCTGGGCCGTCATGACGAAGATGCACAACCAGGCCGATGACTCGACGATGGCAGTTGTCACATTTCGATTTTTCTTAGGACAAACAAAGCCCGGTAGTTCACCCGCCCATACACAGATGCTAACTTGCAGCAACTAGATTTGGACTATGGTCGATACCATCACTTCCCATCTGTGTGCTCAGATTCAGACGTGTGGGGATTCAGTTAAATGCTGTGGTTTTCAACCACATCACTTCTGTTGAAATCTTTCTTTTTGGTTCCTTTGCAGGCCTCCAACCTCAAGCGGGTGCCGTATCAGATTTTCAGCATCCTTGACGGCTTCGGACAGATTGCCTTCGTCGACCTTGTTTCGGGATGCTTGAAGTTTCAGATGCAGTACATGCAGGATGGCTTGCACCTTTTGAAGCAGGCGGAGAAGTTCCGCAAGCTCGGCAGCGACCCTGCCGGCCGCCTCAAGAACGATGTCAGGTGGGGTGGTCTTGTCGCGTACCTGAAGCAATCGGAGGGTTTGCGGGCTGTCAAGCAGAAGGCCACCAAAGCCCTGGAGAATTTGGCAACCGCAGATCCTACTCAGCACGCCAAAATCAAGGAGCTGTGCTTCTCTGACTTGGACCGACCCTTCCAGATGCCGGAGGACATCAAGGAAGCCATTGTCTTGGCAATGAAGGAAATGCAGAAAAATGCGGAGGAGCTCATCGACAAAGTGGGTGACATCACCCACGACCTGCACATCCCGACATCCAGATGGACGAAGGACCTCAAGCACGATGCTACGGTCGAGACGGTGAAGATGTGCATCTCCAGCACCCTCGACTTTGATGTTTCCCCGCTCGAGCCGACTCTTCATTCCCTGAAGGAGGCTTCGAAATCTCGCAAACGTAAAGACCTAGGACCTAGGCCCCCATAGCCGCCATAGCCCTAGGCCCCCCTACACTCATGCAGTGAAGGCGTCAGTAGCCTCACTAGCCGCAGGGTTTCGTTTTGTCTGAACCTGAATATTTTTGCTTTAAGGTAGGGATTGTTGGAGGCAGCCCGAAAGTTGCTTACAACTCTAGAAGCTTGACGGAAGCTGCTTTGTTGCAGGTGAATTCCAAGATCGTCCTATGGAAGAAGAAGGTGGCTTTCCTCAAGGAGGCCGCGGAACTTGAGGCTGAGTGCGAAGCCTTCGTCAACATGTGCGAGAAAGTCAAGGAGCACCTTTTCAATGGCTATGTTTTCAGAAGCGAAGGCGTTTTCGCCAATGCGTTGCTGGAGAGGAACAAGGCTGAAGCGCAGACACTCGTTCGTGCTGAGCTTTCCTGCTTGCAGTCAGATCATTGGAACTTGGGCCTCGATGATACACATGTCCATCCAGCTGTGCTGGCAGCTGCAAAGCAGCTGCTTGAAAGAAGATGAGATGGAGTTTTGCAGGGCCCAGCTTTTAAGTCTTTCAGACGTTTTGAAGACGTGGATGCTCAGGAACTTTTATCGGCAAGTTGTTGTAGCAACACGTTGTAAGCAGCAGGTTTTGGCTGTTTCGAAGTCAACCCAAGCTTTTCCACTCCGGGTCGTAGTGTACTAGTATGTTATGGCAATCCCACACAGTTCCCGAGACCGGTCCACGTTTGGGCAGTCCTGCTTTTGGAACCATCGCTTTTATCTTTTGCAAGATTGGGGCTTCTGCTGTATGCCCTATCCCTATGCCCCTGTGTGCCAGTTGCTGTGGCTGTTGCTGAACCCCGGAACCCAAAGTACGCGTGACGTCATTACGACTTTATGCTGGGACCCAGAGTACCTAGAGTCTAGAGTTGATGGATGCTTAGGCCTAGGCCGGCTCGAGATCATCCGGGTTGAAGCAGATGCAGCTTTTTCAGCTGAGACACAGTTTTTCCTGGGGCTTCACGTGCAAGCCTGTCCTTGCAGCCTTGCCGCTTGGGGTCAAAATCTTCAGCACACAGTCCGCAGCTTCTATCGTGTTTACGACTGAGGGTGATCGGCGAATAAAGTTTCATATGTGCTGAATTGTGCATATACTGATACTGGAATTCAATATTTACTTCCCTTTCATCTTGTTTCTGGATCGAGAATTTTTTAAGCTCTAAGCTTTTCTGAAAAGCTTTTCTGAATATATACCTTCGGCATATGAAGTCTAGCCTCGTATTGATCTCAGAGTGCAAGAGGTTGCTATGCCGGATATGCTGGCCTCCATTGGCAGCCCTTCAAAGCAAATTTATTGTTTGCACTTCGAATTTTGATGGAAATAAGCTTGCTAGCCAACGTGATTGATGTTGGTGGGGAGCCAGATTCCCGCAAGCCAGTCATTGCACTGATTGCACGTGTCCAAATCATAATCAAAAACAATTCCACGGAAAGCCTACGCCGAGGCCCTAGGCCTAGGCCTAGGCTCATGGTGGACTGAGAACATGTGATCACACAAAAAGCAACAAAACACAAGTGGGAGTGCAACACATAACACCGCAGCTATTTTGGCCTACACCGTAGCCGTTTGAGTTCAAAGAGTGTCCATGCCGGCCAAAGGCAGTTTCTGCTATGTCATGCTGCCAACGCATATCGTTTGAAAGTTGTTGCCACCGGCATTTACGTCGAAAGGCCCCCGAATCCCCTTGGATGTCGGTTGGTGTTCACTGCATACCTCCTTTTCTGCTTGTGACTTGTGGCACGCTCTGGTGTGTAGTGTGGTCACCGCACTTGCTGAAGGTTGAGCTTTCCCTGTGCTGTTGGGCTGCGTGCTGATTATTTGTTGAGAGGTTGCATTGACTGCTTATTTGTCTGCATGCCTTGTATGAATAGTGCGGTTAGTGCCGCTACTCCTGGCTCGTTGTCTCCACTTCCTTCAACACTATGTGTTTGGCCGTGTGTGTATAGTGTGCCAGAAACGCTCCGCTTGGGTTGTTTCGCCGGGCTTGGCGCTGTTTTTTCCTGGCTGGATTGCTGAGTGGGTGTTATTTTGTTTATATTTGTCTGTGCATGGCTTTCTTTTTCGGGCATTGCTTTTGACTGCCTTTCAGATTCGCTAGATTTTCAAATTGGAGATGCATTGCAAAATTTACCATTGATTGACTTATTTGGTCTGGTGTGTCCTTATTTTGAAAGGGGCTGTGAGTGAGTGAGTGAGCTCTCTATTGCTTATTCTTTGCTTTTTCTTTGCTTTTTCCTTGCTTTTCTATTTGATTTTGCTTATTGTTTGCTTTTTATTTGCTTTCTCTTTGCTTTCTATGTGATTTTGATTATTATTTGCTTTGTCTTTGCTGTTTCTTTGCTTTCTATTTGATTTTGCTTATTTTTTGTTTTTTCTTGGCTTTTTCTTTGCTTTCTATATGAGTTTGCTTATTTTTTGCTTTTTCTTTGCTTTCTCTCTGCTTTCTATTTGATTTTGCTTATTATTTGCTTATTCTTTGCTTATCTTTGCTTTCTATTTGCTTTTTGAATTGCTTTTTTTTTTTTTTTTTTTTT